TTTTTTCAGAATCTGATGTTAGGACTGAAAAAAATAGCTGACTTCTTTGGGTATTTCCTGAGTGAGGGAGAGATTCAGACTGTTGCAGAGAAGAGCAGCTTCAAAGCTATGAAAGAGAAATCCTCCAAAACTCATGGAACATTTGGGAAAATTCTCTTCCGTAAAGGTACATATCTGAAAACTCCCTATAAATGATCACAAGTCTCTTGCAGTGAAGTCACTAGCACAACACCTGTAGCTGGCTGGGTGAAGTGAAGGCGCAGGTTCTGATAAGGTCTTGCCTCCAGCAACCCTATCTTTTAGGGCTGTTGTAAAAGTCTGGGCATCTGTAACATCACAGGCTTGGCAACTCTAGCTTGCTGGTGTGATGTGAAGGAACAGTCCTCTGCAAGGGTTAGTGGCTCAGGACATCTGTCTTGCTGGGCTAGTATCCAGGAACCTTTTATAGCTGGGCGGATGGCCAGGGAAAGGCCTCTCTGATGCCACTAGAGTAGCACTGATAATCCCCACTGTGATGAGCATGTAACATCCACCTCCAATCCCAGGCCAAAGACAAAATCCAGAGTGCATCCAACTATAGGTGTTGAGCCAGACTGTTGCTGGGCCAGTGCTATGGCTGTCGTCGGTGGCTGTGGAATCTTGAGCTAATGTAGAAGTGCCACAATCAGTCCAGAAGTTGAAATCGCCCAATACAATTGTTGCAGTGACTCTGGCACTACCACTGGTTAGCTCAAGAAGGTACTTCGAGATACAGTGGGGTTACCTGTAGCTCACATTAGTCTGGGGCTCTATCATCTTTCACTGGGATTTCACTGCATCCCGTCCATTGCGGGGGAGACCACGTCTGTCTCTCCCTCAGCCTCACCACTTGCCCACCTCTCCAGATGTGTGGATCATATGGGCTCCAGAGAAAGGGGAAGATGATATGAAGATGGTTCACCCCACCTTCCACAGAGAATACATCAGATTTGTGTGTGGAAGTTCCCCTCTGTGGGTTATGAATCATGGGGGCATTATCAGGCCCTGAGTTAGGATCTCTGGCTGCCACAGGCTAAGGCTGGCACACAAGAACAGAGCTGCTAATGGTGAAGTGTGCATGGAGAATCTGATGTCTTCCCCTACATTTATTTAAGAATAAGCACCACAACTAACAAGACACATGCTTAGTTTGCAGTTTGAAGGCCATCTTATCAAGAAAAAATCTACTGACTTGGGGCCAAATCACACCTGGTGTAAATGAGTGTAATGACTCTTGAATATAACAAAAAGGATGTTTCTGGGGCCAGAGATGGTATGACCAAAACAAGAAGATATACCAAGAACTCTACCTGTATTTTTAAAAAATCCTACATCTTAGAAATGGCTTCTACACTTCACCTCATACATTGCTGAAAAATTCTCCTGTCGTCACAAACCTCAAATGTAGAGGCACAAGAAGAAAGGATCAATTCTTAGGGATATTGATGGGGGGAATGAAGGTTGTGATGTGCAAAAATCAGCCTTGCAATAGAAAGCTAGTTACAACGTCAACCAAGGAGTGATGATCCTTTCTCTCTAACAAATATTTATATATTTTTTTTAATGTTTGCAGGAATTATTGGTGACTGGAAGAACTATTTCTCTGAAGCTCAGAATAAAGAAATGGACAGAAAATTTGAAGAGTGTTTAGCAGGAACTAAACTGGGAGAAAAGATAAAATATGGATTGTATTGCAAGGCCTAAAGAGCAAAATCTAATGCATCTGTTTCCCTTAGTATGATTTGTTCACTTGTTTTTGTACACTGGAAAAATCATCTAAGTGCAAAAAAAACCTTTGAAAACCCAGGAAGGTGCACTTGGGAATTCCTTCCTGTGGGGTAGCCTCAAGCCCTTTCACCCCTCACCCACTTCTGGTGAAGAGCTGAGAAAGAAAATAAAGGAAATCAGCTGTTGCCACCAGCTAATTAACCAACATGTGCACAAACCTCTTAGGGACACAAAAATCCAATCCAGGAATTCCCAAGTGCACCTTCCTGTGTTTTCAAAGGTGTTTTTTGCACTTGGGTAGTGGCAGCATCTGTCCATCCAAGGTCAGAGAAAAGCTGTGACCTTGGGAGTTTAATACAAGCCTGGAGTGGTCAGTATTAATTTTTAGAATCCTTGCGGGCCCCCACCTTCTGCACTCGAAGTGCCAGAGTAGAGAATCAGTCTTGACATGGTGGCAGAGCGGTGGCTGTAAATTCCATGGCTGTAAATTCAGCAACTTTCCTAAACACTAAAATTCATCAGAAAATCTATTAACAAGAAAAATATTCCAGGCATGCTGACCTGATGCCAAGGTTAGGTAGTCGTTTAAATACTGGACCAAGAATACCAACAAATGCAAAGAGATGATATAGAGGGTCAGAGAGAAATTCTTAGAATGGTCAGAGTATAGAGTACAAAGGGAAAATCCTAATGAAACAAAGAGGTGATTTTCCCCTCTATGTGGCTCTACTTGACTGTGCCTGAAATATTGTGTTCAGTTCTGAGAACTTCATTGCTAGAAAGATATTGACAAACTAGGTGCAGTTCAAATAAGATCAACAAAGATTATCAGCAGGGTGGAGGGATTGATTTATAAAGAAGATTTATAGAGTGAGCCAGATTATGCTCTCGGTTACACCAGTTTAAGTCAGGACTGATTTTGCCAAAATCTATGGAATTTCTCTGGATTTTCAATGGTGTAATTCAGTGGAGAATTTCACCCAGTATGTATAGATTGGCTAAACGGCAGCTAAGTAGGGACAAGAAAGCAGCTGACACCTATTTGACAGAAAACAGAGGAATATATCAAAGAGGCAGAAGAATTCTTTCTTTTAACACCTGGGTGTACAAGACTATAGGTGTCTCTCTGAAATAGGGAGAGTTTAATCTGAATGGGAAAAAATCTTGACAGACAAGTGTATTAAGTTGTGTAACATACAATGAAACCTCATCATCTGGGGACACTTAAATCTAGATAGGACAAAGTACCAGAAGATGTATTGCAGGGAAGCATCCTGAACCAGCAGTGAGATGGACTGGGTGAGCTAGTAGGATTTTTCCCATAAATGATTCTATGAGCAGGAAATAAATACAGCTATTTCACTAGGGGTTGTGACCTCACCAGTTTCTCAGAAGCTAAACAGATTCAGGCCTGGTAAGAATTTGGATGGGAGCAGGGCCGGTGGAAGGATGTTTTGCGCCCTAGGTGAAACTTCCACCCTGCGCCCCCCCGATCCCTGAGCCCCTGCCCTGAGGCGCCCCCCTCCCACCCCGCAGCAGCTACCCCCCTCCGCAGTTGCTGCAGAAGAAAATGGCACCCCCCAAATCCTAGCGCCCTAGGTGACCGCCTAGGTCGCCTAAATGGTTGCACTGGCCCTGGATGGGAGATTTCTGAAAAAACACCTAATGTAATTGTGAGCTGTGTTGCTTGGATGGTTCAATTCCCATCTATCAAGTGTCTCTGACTTTCAGAACAGAAGCCAAAGGTGCAAGTCAACACCATAAGCAGTAAAATATACGGTACCCTGTCCTGGGACCAAAATGTTAATGACGTATATAAAATAACTACAGTAGTTTATAGATATACTGTACTAGACAAAGGGTAATTCAGTGAATAATCAAGCCTGATGTATTTTGTTCAGTTCAGCAAAGCTAACAAGCTGACATGTGCCCTTTAGCTCTGGGCAGTCATTTTTTAAAATACTGGACTATGAACTCTATTATTCCTGCAGCCAGAAACTCATCGTTAATGAAAAGCTAGCTATTGCTTCAGGTCTATTGGCTAGGGTGCTAACCTGGGAGTCAGTTGACCTGTGTCTACTGCCAGCTCAGCCACTGGCCTACTTTGTGAATTTTGGCAAATTACTTCTTCTCTCCAAGCCTCTGTTTTATCATCCATCCTTTGTTTGTCTTGTCTATTTACATTGTAAGCTCTTCAGGGCAGGAACTGAACTGTCTCTTCCTTTGTTTATACAGCACCTAGCAATACAGGGACTTGATTTTGGTTGGGGCCTACAGGCACTAGCATAATATCAATAATAAATATTAATACTATTAGGGAAATGTAGTTTTCCTTTATTTTTAAACAATATACAACATTTTATTCAAAAACAAGCTTTCTTTTATTACTCACAGACAAAAACAAACAAACTTTGTTAACTTGAAGTTAGGGTTACAAAGTGGAACAGAACTCACCCAAACTGCAGTATAACAACACAACAGTTTAAAATTTCAAAGATTTTTGAAAATAGGAGCCTAAAGTTAGGTTCTTAAGTCCAAATTTAGGCACTGGAAATTAGGCCTGATATTCAAAATTGCTGAGTATCTAGATGCTTTTCCCTTGACTCTAATAGAAATGCTGGGTGTTGAGGGTGACAGTTTGGGATATGGCTATATCAGATTGCGAGGTCTGTTTTGGGCTGGTGTTGAAATATCGGCACTATAGCAACATTAGTTCAAACTTGCCTGTTATGTTGCATTTCAAACAGCTACCCTTACACCGGCATAAAATTGGTATGAAATCAGCATCAAGTACTATACACGTTTATGTGTCATCTTTAACTATTGATATTGCAACTGCTATAGCTATAATACAATCAAACTTTAGTTAAGAAACTGTCTTTACACTATTTCACAGATTCGCACTGTTTTTTCACACAACCCCAGAAACCCAGCACCCCTTGGGGGACAAATCCTACTTGCCTTATTCAGATGAGTAGTACCACTGACTTCAGGGCATGAGTCAAAGTAAGAAAGAATTGGATCTCCAGCAATTATCACATAGTTAGATCATTAATATCCACTAGTTGTTTTTGTAAAACCACAAGGTGTCAGACTATACTTGTACTAACAATTGCTGTGGCCTGCCATTTCAAACCAAGATATAGATCCTGGTGTGAGATTTTGGGGTACACTGCAAGTGAAGGTGTGGTTGTAGCACAGGTAGGCACCTCCATGCTAGCTTTAATTTAGCTAGCCCAGGTAATGGTAACCGTGTAAATGTGACGGCACAGGCTTTGGCATGGGCTAACAACCACAGCACATATCCAGGATTCCCAGTGGGTTTGTAGGCTGGTTGCTAACCTGTGCTGAAGCCTGTGACACCACATCTACACCGCTGTTTCCAGCACTAGCTAGATTAAAGGTACCATGACTATGTCTACCTGTGCTATAATCACACCTTCACTTGCAGTGTAGACATACATGAGAATGGACAGCAAATTGCACCTCACTTTGTATTGCAAAATGGTTCATGCAAAAAGCCAATGCAATTTTAGACTGCATAGGGAAAAGGCTTACTTCATGAAGTAAATTCCTCTCCAAAGGAAGGCATTCTGGCCTTGTACCAAAGATGTTGCTGATATGTGTAAAAGAATATACAAAGCATAAGCAAACTGTAGTGTAACTACAATACACTGAGCAAGGTTTTGTGTTTTCAAATGGATGCCTAAAATTGGGTTCCTGAATCCATATTATAGCTACTTAAATAAATGGCCTGAAACAAATTTTTCAAAATTGTTGAGTATCTGAAAACTTCCCTTGACCCAGGTGGGAACTGCTGAATGCAAAGCGCAATGCGTGTTTCTCTGGGATCGTTATAGTTCCAGATATTTAGAAAGCTCAGTACAGAAGGCCACAGCCAGGGCCAGATTAACATTTGTGGGCTCAGCGCCAAACATATTTGTGGGCCCTCATTGGGGAAATAGGGCATTTGATGGGGGGGCGAGGGGCCGGTGGGGGGCAATGAAGTGCAGTGCAGCGGGAGTGGCCCCACTCAGCCCAGCAGAAGGGCACTGTGTGCAAACCCACAACTGCTAGATGCACACTGGCCCGCTGAGCCCTGTGCTGCCAGCATGCCCCTTCCACACTGCCCCTGGGCCCAGTGCCCTGCCCTTATGCCCAGCACCCCCTCACTCAGAGACTTCCCCACAGATCCCTATGCCCAGCGCCCCCTCGCCCAGAGACCTCTCCCACAGATCCCTATGTGTAATGCCTCCAGACCTTCTATGCCCAGCACCCCCTGCCCAGAGACCTCTCCCGCTGACCTCCCACCACAACTGAACAGCACCCTGCACACCATACCCCCTGCCCAGCTCCCCAATCCACAGATCCCCTACTGTCCAGCACCCCCTTCACAGTCCCATCATTGCAGCTGTACAGCGCCCCATATTCCTGAGGGAATTCTGCATCAAATTCTGTGCATAATATTTTAAAATTCTGCAATTTTTTTTTACAATAAATAAATGTGGAAGCTCCACCATGGCAGTGGGGAGCACAGGCCACTGAGGTGGGAGAATACCCTGCAGCCTTCCCTGCCCCCCTGGGACAGGGACTTGGCAGTGAGGCTGTACCTGACCCTTACACCGCACAAGGGCCATGCCTGCCATAGAAACACCCTGGGGCCCTGCCCCTTTTGTGCCAGGCACACCAGATGTGGGCAGGGAGGCTCAGTCTCGCAGCAGGATCCAAGTGCAGAGGGACTTAGTGTGGGGGGATCCAGATGGGGGTAAGAGGGTTCTGTGTGGGGCAGTCTGGGTGCAGGCAGCTCAGTGGGGATCTGGATGCACAGGGAGTTCTAGA